TGATACGAAATCGATTACAAACACAAATCGTTCAAGACTATGACTGCTAAGATTTGCTTTGCCTTTAGCACCCTCAAAACCAGACACTAAAGATAATAGGTCAAATGAATAAACGAAAAGCAAATGCTTTTACTTAAAATTGTTGAAATGGACTTATGCAGAATTAAAAAAACAGAACAGAACGCTACTAAAGTATAAGCATTTGCTTTTATTCATCTGACATAATACCTAGTAATGTTGTTATCACACCTCCAGATTACTGTGTTACATTTTAATAATATAGATCAAAATTTCAAAGACGCTCAGTCATCGAATGAATTTGAATCTTACATAAGAAACAAGGTTTCGATAATGGATTTTTAAATAAAATTAATAAAACACTAGTTAATAGTTTATCTATTAGAAAGAAAAAACCTAAGTTTTTTAATAGAAAACAGAAAAGTAAAATTTGCAAATTAAAAAAGGCCCTATAATATAATTCCTAATGTAATGTTTAAACTGCAGTCAAAATTTCAGAATCAAAGATATTTCAACAATTTAATTCAAAACTATTATAATGTAGGTTTGTTCAGGTTTCTTTAAAACTCGATGCAAACTGTCCGAGAACCAGTGAAACAGTTTAATTCCAAATTTTTTGTCGCATACAATTATTAAACTGTCTACTGGTCAACTAGTCCTCTGATAGTTCTCAATATAGTTTTGAAGAACCCGGACAGACCTAGTATGAGGGCTGTGGCAATATTTTAAAGACCAAAAAGATAAACAAAATGATTGAAGTTACTGCATTTAATTTTTTTTATTTTTCAGTTTATATGGATGGTTGCCTTTTATCTTATTTCCCAAGATTCAAGAATATTTTTTTTTATTTAGAAAATTTATTAGGCATTAGTTTTTCAAATCAAGTACATGAATTATTTGTTTTGCAATTTCGGATTTTCATTATTTTAACCGGAGATAGTTAACGTACACCTAAATAATAATGTAATATTTGTTATATTAGAGTAACTTTCTTAAAGATAATAAATATTTGGAGATAATTTATAATACTAGAATTTGTTTTTAAGTCAAACTCATTAGATAATCTTTAGAGAATAAAATTTTTGTGAAATTAGGAGTATTTTTTATAGAAACTAGTAAACATTTGTAAAAATAGATTGTACTTTGCATGGAAATAAACTAATATATACAAATAATGATGGTAGGTCGGGTTATCCGGGTTTTCCTCACCTGCAAATAAAATGGTTATTTTTAAGTTGGCCCAGAGTGCCATAGCAAATAATAATAACTATTCTTGCCACTCACAAGCTCCTCTTCTCGGGGGTTTAACTTATGTAGGGTGAAGTGTAGGAAAATCTATTATTATTGTTGTATTGCCATTAATTTAATTTATTTTTCTTGAGAATTTTTAGTAAATATAATAATATAAAGCTTTGTATGGAATTTATTTTACACCTCATAATTATATGTCATAGAATTTTACATTTTTATTGGCATTTCATAATTCATATAAAAAAGCAACATTTTAATTATAATTAAGAAGAAAATTTACTTCAGCAATTATCTTTTTCTAACCAATACAAAATAGAGCCATGAACATTTCTATAGTTTATTTTATTTTTTTGTGAATGAAAAATATGTACCTTTGATTTAATTATTTTCTTAAAAATTGAGAAAATCTTTACGCAAACAAAATTTTGCTATTTTTTGCCATCAAAATTTGGCCAAATTTTGAAAAAGTGGCTTCAGAGGAACATATTTAACGTTTACCTACACGAAAAAAACGATCTGAAATTTTGCATGGTTATATATCGTATTAGATAGAAAATAATAATTGCTAAAGTAAATTCTCCTTTTAGTAGAAAATAATCCCGCCAATTTTCAAATTAAATATATTACGGGTAACTACATTACCGACAGAGTAATAGCGTAGTTAATAATACAGGTAACTATGTTACTGACAGAGTAGGAATAGTTCAACCACCCGCACCCACAGGTCGCTGCAAGCAAACTTGTTGCCAAATTTCTACAAAGACACGGCAACTCTTAATACTCCTTCCTCCATGCATTGGAGTATTGGGACGTATTGCCTACTACCTTTCAGCTGACTTAAGGAAGACTATATCATTCACTAATTCATTCAAATCTATCATATTTAACTCTTATTTGGAGCAAAACTTCCCAAACTTCCCCTGCAAATTCTACAGAATAGAGCAATCAGAAAAGCTTTTCAACTTCCCATTTGCCATCCTACTGATCTTTTGTATCGTCCAAACAATATTCTAGACATTCAGTCCCTCTCTAAATCTCAGACATGCATTTTTATTCATAACCTATCTCTAAATAATATATACACTCATCCATACAACTGACTACTTCCTATGATATCCATAGATATAATACTCGGAATAATCGCTGCTTCAGAACCATAGCCGTAAGAACATTATTTGGTGACTGAAGCATACTATCTGATGGACTAAGACAATACAATAAGCTTCCTAGCACCATAATGAACATGACTGACCTCTTTAAAAAAAACTAAAAGCTCACTTAATAGAATTTTCTTAGTTGATATCTTCATGTTTAAATAGAGTTTAAGTAATAGTGTGATATTAAATTACTGTATTTTTTTCGAGATTTTTTTTAAGCTATTGCATAGCTTTTATCGCGGGCTTTGAGTGCGGCGACCGAATCAAGAAAAAAAAAACGAAACCGTAATGAAAAAAAACCTAACACCCCCCACTCAGAACGGCACAGCGGTGAGGCGTTAAACAATATTAACTTCTTTCTCATTTATTCAATAAAAGAAAATCGAAAAATTGAAAAAGAAATTGCGTAACGAAAATAAACCTAACACCCCCCACTCCGACCGGCACAGCGGTGCAGCGTTGAAAGCCGTACATCGTCTAACGTCGTTTCAGTTCGGCAGACTTCGGCACGATGTTTGTGTGCGTGCGACTAGACATATGCCTGTAGACTAGCTGCTAACTGCTCATAACTGATTCTATCTCTTTTAGACACAATTTCGGAAAAATTGAATTTGAAAATGAATGATGATCCACAAGAATCCACAACAAAATATGGGAACACCATTGACGCGGCATTTTCCAGATATTTAGAGAATATCAAGTCTCAAACTTATGTTTCTTATTTCAGTTACCATAAACCTATAGTTTCAATGATAAAAATTCCTGAATGACCTACATGTATTGTAAGGTAATAAAAATATTTTAAACAATATTAACTTCTCATTTATTCAATAAAAGTAAAAAATTTGTTTTCTTATCGGTCACCACGCTCAAAAAGTGTAACTTGAATTATATCAAAGAAACAAAATACTGCATAAATAAAATAAATAAATAATTATAATTGCATAAGTTGATAAAAATGATATGCAATAGCTTTACCGCGGCAGTCCCCGAGTGCGACACGTATTTTATTTATTCTAAATTGTACCAAATTTGTAGATAATTTTATTAAACTAAACAATTTTTACTTTAATACACGTATTATTATTGGTCATCAATTTCTTCTGCAGGCTTAATAATTGGTTTTATCACCTATTTGACTATTCCCAGTGGAAAATTTAACCTGGTAAAATTGGCAGCTAGTTAAAGTTAATTTAATTACATTTAAGTGAATTCGAATTGAACTCCCATTGAGGTCAATATAATTAGGAATATAGAGCAAATTAATATAATATATATATGGACAAAAATAAGTAGGTCATGTTTACAAAAAAAAATTGTCAATTACGTCAACTACATACCCAGATTCAATATCCATACAAAAGGAATGAAAAATGTCAACCTGCTAATATTAAATGTATTCATATTATTACATCAAATTCTTATTAATGATCTTCATAATATATGATATGAAACTAATGAACACTTTTCGGGTAAAATAAATCAATTCAAAATAAGAACAGGATGATGAATGATAATATCTACTTTTTATAGGTTTGGTTTGATGTATGAATTTGCATAGGTATTTTTAATTTTATTTTCGGTGTCTAGAGTGGTTAATAAAAATATTTTTCTGTAGTAGCAACTTCTGTTCCAAGTGAAGACTATTTTCGAAAGCCGGTTTGACAGCAACAAAAAGCCAAAACCGTTTATCTGACAAGAGATTGTGAAAAATTTATTATTTTTGATTTCTCTTCTCGGAAAGATTTCAAATATTAAACTAGCATAAATACTTTTTAAGTAAATATTGTTTGGTTTGTCTCTATATTAAAAAAAATAATGTATTGTGTGTTTTATCACTTATCTGAATAAACAAATCGCATTTAAACTGTTAAAAAATGTATTTTTGTAAATTTTATTAAAAATATATCAATATATTCAAAATATCGATATTTTTTATTTGATAAATTGAATGTATTATTTCGATATTTTTTATTTTGTCATCCCTAATTGTTATATATAGCTGCCAGGTTATATTTAATTATTTGGAACCAGGGAATAAGCATGTTGAAATAACTATTTTTCTTTTATCTATTTTACCAACTTTTACATGGATTAAAAAAAGTTCTGAATATTTTCAAGTTATTTTTAATGTCAATAAAACATTTCAATAGTGATTACAAAATTCAAATTCTAGACGTCAGTGCAGAGTGGTGTGAATAAGCGTATTTCTAGACTCGTCAACTACAAGATTACCAGAATTATTTATATCTACCCATATCGTCAATTGGCATCAAAATATAACGTTATTTACTTGTGTAAAGTCCGAAAGTACACCTCATGAGATTGAGTTTAGATACATCAAAATATATTTTCTTAGTTTGATTTGTAAATATCGGCCTTTTACTTCTCAAACTTGTCGACCTTAAGAAAGTGGTTTAAAAGAAATAAAACAAAAATAAAATACCTGAGTGCAACAGGTAGGTATGTAGGCAATATTTGCAAATGTAAATTTAAAAAATCGTACTTTTTTTTATGGTAATTTCTTCTTGTCTAAATTCTGTATATGATAAAATAATTAATAAAATTACTTACCAATTTGTCTCAAACAAGCAGATATTTTAAAACTAATGAATAAGAACACAATAAAAGTTAGGCAAGAAAAATAACACTTCGCCATGTTTACCGTTTAACACTAACACCAATAATACCAATATTCATTTAGTAACAAAACAAGTTACAAACTTCAACATCTCCACAATATAAGTTATCAGGTCCGCCAACTAAAGTGAACTAACTGGAACTAACTAAAAGTTCTAAAAATAAAAGATTATTCTTTCATGAATCAGTGAATTACACTGATTACACTCATCAAATTCAGTAAAGTTATTCCTCGTGATATGTTGAATTTGTCAAGTGTATTTGAGAACTGCAATCGACAATTGACGATTGTTCGAATCAAAACAAACACGAGTTTTGCCAAAGGCATAGGATAATGCAGCAATAATATATATTCATATAGATTGTTCATCCATATGATGTCCATATATAACGGAAAAAAGCTAAACGACCTTGATCCCCAAATGTAATTTAAGGGGAATATGGTGACGTGTTCCGGTTTTCAGTAACGTTTGAAGGTATAGAAAAAAGAATATTCGATTTCTTATGTATAAATTATGTAAATCTACAAATATACGAATTTCACTTATATTAAAGAATAGCTATTTTCTTGCGAAGTGTTTTACTCAAAGATTATACACATAAACTAGGTATGACTTTTCCAAAACTTTGAAGTATTTTCTTTTTAGACGATATTGTAAAATAAAGTACCGAAATTGTCAGATAAACGGTTTCCGAGATATAACGCCGCCCTAAGCAGAGTATAGTTAACCCCTAAGTATTCAAATAATTTATGTTGAAATGGGATTTATAATTTTGTATTAAAGATTATTTACTTTCGTCTCCATAAATCATTTAAATCCGATTTTTTACGTCCTGCGCGTTGTCATATATTTAAAACGTTTTTTTTGCTATGATTCACTTCAATGGTTTTTTGCTACTATACTCTGTTTTTAAACTAAGAGGAGCGATTTGAATTTACGTTGGCAATTCTGTAGCCTTCTAATTGGTCAGATTACAGTCAGTTTCACACATTATTTTTTAGCATGAACATCAGCTAATAATTGATATTAGGCATTCCAAACTGAATGACTACCAGTGGGTTTTGACAGGTTATGATGTGGCAAAGTTATGGCAACTCTGTAGGCCTGGTGATTTGACAAGGTGAGTGAAATAGATAGTTACATAGATTGATCATCCCTATTTTTTAAAATAAACATAAGCTTATGCCTTGAAGTAAATATATAAACAATTATTATTTTTTAAATATCTAAAGTCTGAAAATTGGTTTTAAAACACATTTTGGCTAAACTGATTCAAATTAATAAATATTTGCCAGGCAATATGGCTGCTCGCAAACGACCAGCTTTGAGCAATGTATATAACACATATGTATCATTGACCCTGTTAATGACAACATGACAACAGGGTTGCCATATCTAAACTGTCAGTACCCACTGGTAGCCATTTGGACAGGTCGTTGGAATGCCTAATTGTTGACAGTTCTGACATTTTATAATTTGATATCTCATCCATTACTTAGTTTTTTACTTTATTTCGTAAATAATAGTTCTTCAGTAAGCAATTGTATTGAAAATCTACAATTATGGATCCTTCTACACTGAGTACTATTAAAGGTAGCAATTCCTGAAAAGCCTTACAAGAAAGGGAAGACACCTTATTATTTTACATGCTGATTCTGAAGGTTTTGTAGAAAATGCATTATTGGTTTTTGAATGTAAAAAGATGGGAGATTACCATGAAGAGAAGAATTCCGAAGTATTTTAGAAAAATAATTTTATTACTGATTTTTTAAAACTAAAAATTGTAGAATTTCTAACTAAAATGATTAAAATGTAACTAAATATTCAAGCAAATTTTATTTATTAGAATAGAATAAAACTATTTACAAAATTGTTATAACATTTAAAACACCATCTACTACTTTAGGGATAATCTTAATTTGACACAATGAGTTAACATTATTTTCACAAAAAATATTTTAAAAATACTTAAAATTAATACATAGGTATGTATGAATAGTTCACTTTAAAAAATATATCTTGACATGTAGTGTTATGAAAATGTTGGTTCCAGTTTTCAAAACAAATTCTGACTCATAGGCCTGTAAACTTTTGAATGCCTTTATTTGCCCTCTAGCGCATTAACCATGGGTTAACACTAAATAAGCCATAATATCCATATTACTCATAGAAGAGATACCAGTTATACTGTGTGATCCACTTGTCATTCACTGATTAACTTTTACTTTTTATACCTATTCGCGATTCAAGCTAAGTGATACGCCCTCTGGAGGAAATTTGTAGAAGGTCCGAATAAGTAGGATATCGTTCAGTGTTGCCAGAAGTAGCAAAACTTCGCTACGTCGTCGGATTTTAGCTCTGGAAAAAGTGGATAAAACCTTTTATTTAAGAATCAAAATTTGTGTATGTTATGATAATCTATATTTATTTAAGGATTTTTTTATAAAACCGATTTATTATATTGATTTTTTTTAAATTTCAGTTCATTTATTAATTTTGTTTTAAAATCAGTTCATCATTTGGCAACATTGGCGTTCATGTTCATTGTTTACATTTTAATTTGTATCAATTACAAATAATTTTTTTTTACTTTTTAGCTTTAAATTTGTTTTTTTCTTATAGCATGTGATAGTGTTTATATTAAAAATGAAATCTGTGACGAAGTCCCCAGAAAATTGCAATCTATATGGCGTTAATGTCAAAATCAAAACTGAAGATTCATTATTTTCCAAGTACAAGTCGTAAAATTTTGTTTTTTACGATAAATGGATATCTACAAATTCACAATATTGAAATTTTACGAAACTTTGTTTAGAATCAAACTGAAATCTTATTTTTTGACGGTTTTATTACCATTTACATGTATACAAAGTACTACGTGATTCACTTCATAATATAAGAATAAGTCTAGTAAGATTTTTAAATAAGTTCATCAATAATAAACGTGTGGTACCTGAAATGTCCTTTAAACCACATAATACAACATGTCCTGGGTTTAGTGAATACATATTTCTAGATGTTCTTGTAGTAACCAATAGGTAAATATTTCCAACAAATTAAGTCATACACATGATAAATATTATATTTATGACGAAAGCACGAGACTTAAACTTAAATTAACACTAAATGAAACTCAAAAACACTATTACAATGAGAATATTATCTAAAAACACTTAAAAAAATCACAAATACAAAATCCGTCCAAAACAAAAACATGTAAATAAACAAACATCCTACTTATAGATGACAAATGACAGGCGCGCGAAAATTAATTTGAATCGCCAATAACAAATATATCCTTAAAAATGTAAACAGATCTTTATATTTTATACTAACCTGGCTACATCTGGATACTCCATTAACAATTTTCTTAAATATTTATTATCCATTTTAAAAAGATCATAGTTATTCTCAAAAAGTCGATTTCAAAAGCAAGAAAAAAGTATTTCTGACATCAATCAACAACCATATTGACTTTAATTTGACAGTGACATTTCGTTTTAGACACATTTCAGATCACAATAATGTGAAATTTGCCACCGTTGTCTAGGACCAATTAAAAAAATTACTTCTATGACATTTATTCGTTTCTTAACCGCTCATTGGCCGTTCACCGACTAAGGCCGATAAAGATAATTATTTAACACGACTATATTTCGAAACTCGCTCTTAGTAACAAATCTAGTTACTTTTCCCTGTGTAAATGCGTCTTTTCAATTCGCTCCTCCTAGTTTGAAAACAGAGTATAGTCAAGCGAAGTATTCAGATATTTTATTTACGGTTTTGTACGTTGTGGAGTCTTGTTAGGAAAATTGCCAAGACAGGTCGATTTTTGATTTCTACAATGTATATTTTTGTATGATTAGTTTACCCTTAATTTCATCCCTTACTGGAGGGGAGCAACCCTTTCGAAAAATTTAAATGGCATGGGGTGGTGAGTGATAGCTCATTTGAAAGGGGATTTTATTCTCTATTCAACCGTGCAAAAAAAAATTTAAATTTGCTTCATTACGTGTTGATTTATTAATGTTTAAAAATAACAAAACCTCACAAAATAGGAAAGCAACTAAACTAACAGTGACCTTCTAATGGCAAAAAGTCTTACTTCACGTCTGAACCAAAACCGAAATCATGCAGGGCCGAATTTTAATTCTAAGGATGAGTGCGCTACGTTAATTTCCGTTATTCTGAAACAACAATTAGTCGAGAATTAATGAAGCAAATTTCAAAAATTTTTACACGGTTGAATAGAGAATAAAACTCTCTTTCAAATGAGCTATCACTCACCACCCCATGCCATTTAAATTTTTCGAAAGGGTTGCTCCCCTCCAGTAAGGGATGAAATTAAGGGTAAACTATTCATACAAAATTGTACATTGTAGAAAACAAAAATCGACCTGTCTCGGCGATTTTCCTAACAAGACTCCAGTAATGAGTTAGATAGGGGGGGTAAGACTTATGGTGCTCACTGTATAAATTGGTGTATGCGCTAGATTATTTTCGTTCTCACCATTTATTAGACAGGCGACTCCGGCAATTTCTGGAATTTACTTCTAGTACATTCCTGAATGATTCATGCCGGCTATCTGTGAGCATAGGCGTCCCTATAGTTGGGTAAAGGGAGGTTATACCCTTTATTAAATATTCCTGGTTTTAAGGACAAGTGGGGTCGTAACAAGGCCCAAACAAGGCAGATGGACCCACAGGATTAAAGCATGACCAGATGTTTAAAAAAAGTAGTAGCAAACCCTATATAAGCACTAAAAAACTTGAAAAATACAAAATATTAATAATTCGATATTTTTGTAACTACTTTAAAAACGAATAAATAATCTCTAAATTACCTAAAAACTGTTAAAAAACACAAAACCGCAACGTACAACTTTTCTATAGTGACCGCTTAAATTCTGTACCGATGGATACGTCATCAACGTAGTGGTGTTTTCTTATGAAACTAATCTATCCTGTAGTATATAGTCATTGGCCTATCTACTCTACATAAGGCATTTCTTTATAAGCTTACCTACTTCTGTAACCAGAGCATTTCTTTATAACGTTTGGTTACTCTGCTTTGGTTACATGTTACCAAAGCATATATATATATATATATATATATATATATATATATATATAGATTCGTCCTACCGACGTTGTGACATCATGTCGCAAAAATGTTGCTATCTTTATAACATCCGTCTGCGATGTGACATCCAAATTCGGATGTCACAACGTTTTTGGGGTTCAAACATCATAAAGTAGGTTTAAAAGGGCGCCAAAAAAATTTCAGCTGGATGTCATAATGCTTAATTTTCAATTTTATGTATATATTTAGTTCCAGTGTATAGATG